CCCAAACACAAGCCATAGGATTTTAAACAAATAGGATTGAGTGGATCACATCTCACGCGTGTGAGAGTGCCAGAGTGCATGTGAAGAAGGAGCCATCGCTGCCTGATCCTCAGACTACCAGTCGGCTACTACGGAGAAAAACACCTTGGCCTGACTGCGGAGTCTAAACGTAATTGTCAGTTGGCAACATTCCAAGTCACAGCGCTTAGCACACCGCGATGGTCTCAGGCTCGGATCACGCATGCAGACGTGGGAGCAACATGGAGAAGGGACGATGGATCATATTTTCCTCTCAGATGAGAGGTACTAGTTGCAAATACGTAGTATATGGTATTGGGCGTGACCATATATGATATAAGTGCTGGTGAAAAGAAGGTGGGTGATGTTATATAGTCGGCGGAGTTCTACTGCATGCGTTCCTGGAGTCAGATATGGTCCAATGGGCCCATACGATGAAGGAATATGCGTGAACAGTTAAGATGGATGCGGCGACCGAATGTCGGGGCCCCAGGCAGTGGTTCGTACGATAGATTTTCAAGTGCCCTACCAGGCCAATGTGTGATGTGCATGCGCGGTGGCAGTGAGAGCAGAAGATGTGGAGTCGACGGTACTGGTACTGGAGGGCTGGAGATGAGACTGTTGGCGGGTGTAGAGGACGTGTTAGGTGTGTCGGTATTTTGGGTAATTCCGCTGTCATGGATACGCATGTGGAGGATGATGCTCATGCGGTGAGTGAATGCGTGCCCCGCAGTCAGTCCAGCTTGTGGTTGTATGGAGTAGCTGGCTGGTTGCGAAAGTGCGAGTTAAGCAGCAATGGCTCCTTCTGGCGGTGGCCTTTTATGGCACTCCTACTTAGTGGCGACAGGCTTTGGGGGCGGCTGCGACAGTGTCAGCTACCTACTCCCTCTGCCGCCTCTGATCTTCTTGATTCCCATCTTGACACAAGGCACAGATGAGTAAGGAAGGAGAGAGTGCGGTAGATGCAGCACAAGCCTACTATCACTTTAACCTAATTAATGCGCAAGTCACCACGCTTCCAAGCTGCCGTGAAGCACGCGGTGGACATTGTCGAAATTGGCACTCAAACTGTCAGGTAGGAAATAGTAAACTGGCGATCATATGATTTCACGCCTTCACTGTCTCCTGGCAAGTACGTCGGTGAAACCAGGTCGGGATAGGCCAGCGCACATCAAAAGTAACTGTAAACATGATTTTGCAGCCCCTGACG